AACTGTAGCCTCCATCTCCCAGGCTCAGGTGATCATCCCACCTCAGCCTCCTGAGAAGCTGCGACTACAGGCATGTGTCACCGTGCCTGGCAGGAAAAGGATCTTAGTATCTTACCAGCAGCGGGTTCCACTGACTCTGATGGTGGAAAGGTTATCTTGACTTTCATGCATTAGTACCACCACCAGTAACAGCTCACATTTTCAAAAAGTGTTTACCAAGTGCCAGGCACTATGTGAACCTCTACGTGAATTATGTAATTCACGCTCTGCTCATAATCACTACATGATGGGGAAACTATTAAGAGAGCTGAGGCTGAGGGGCTGCACAGGTAGTAAGGAGCAGAGCCAGGACGTGTCCGCCCCAGGCTCTTAACCACTTCAATACTTCGTTTCCTACAGAGCTCCAATGAAACGCCTCTGCCCTCTAGCCCCGCGGAGCACGGCCCTAGGTTCTCCCATTGAGGTCCCGCCCCCTCGGCCTTCCCTTCGGGGACCGCCCCTTGGGCCCGCACCTCCTCAAGTCCTATTCCCGAGGCCTTACTATTCCCTCCTCCCCACCCCGCCCCTCCACAGGGTGCTTCTCAACCTGCCCCGCCTCCCTGGGGCCCTGCTCCAGCGGTCTAACCGACCAGGCCCGCCTCCCGAGGCCTCGCCCCGAGGTCCATTCTTCCCGGCCCGCCCCTCGAGGCTCCGCCCCCAGGTCTAACCTGCCGAGTTCACCTCCCAAGGTCCCGCCCCCAGGTTCAACCTTCCGGGCCCGCCCCTCGAGGCCCCGCCCCCAGGTCCAACTTTCCGGTCCCGCTCGAGGCCCCGCCTCCGCAGCGGCTGTCACCCCAGACCCGCCTCCCGAGGTCCCACCCCTGCGGCTGACACTCCAGGCCCGCCCCTTAGGGTCTCGCCCCCACACCACAGCACGCTGGGTCCGCCCTCAAGGTCCCCGCCTCAGCTGACACTCCAGGCTCGCTCTGTACAGGCGGGCCCCGCGGCCGATTCTCGGAGATCTGCCCTGCCTCCCCGGGGGGCCCCGACCCCCTGCCTTACTCTCCGGGCCCGCCGCAGTAGCAGTAGCATTGCTGCTGGTTGGTGCGGTGGGGCGAGTCCCACTCGAGCTCCTCTGGCTGGTAGGACAGCACCATCTTCACGGCCTGCAGCGTCCTGGCGATGGCGCCCTTCTTTAGCGCGCCGCCTTTCTGGGGGGGAGACGAGGGCCCCAGTCAACCACTAGGTCCGAGTGGACCTCGCAAGTCAGCACACAGCTATCTGTCGAGGGAAGTGCTGCCAGGGCTGGGGGGACCCGCAGATATTTGAACGTTGTCAGAAAAGCAAAGAGCTTTTTCTCATCAATTCCAAACCCATCCCCCCATCCCAGAAGGAACCCCGTTGCTAACAATATTAACAGTAATAAGCACAATAAAGGCACCAATTACCAACATGTATTTACATGGATTTTCTCTTTTAATAGTAAAGCATCACTTATTGGTCCTGTTATTCCCGACACCAAACCCATCTCCACTTTACTGCTGAGGAAACTAGGCTCAGGGAGTCTGAATCCTGGCCAAGGATAGTGGCAGAGGTGCCATCTGTCTCTGAGGCCCAGGTGTGGCCCTTCTGCTTGGAGCTCAGGCTCTATGATGGCGAGTCTCTGGGCTGCCCCACTGGAGGGGGCAGGAGAGGCAGGGACTGGGGAGGATGGAAGGCTCACCCGCACAGCCAGTGCGAAGATGCAGCGTCGGCAGAACCAAGGTGTGAGCAGGGGCTGGTCGGCACTGCCCGCTATGGGGATGTGGCACTGCTGGTGGTAACCTACAGCAAAGGAGGGGGCGGTGAGCGCCCACAATGAAACTGTGGCCCAAGGCCAGTTGGCCCAAAGGAGGCAGGGCTGGGAGGGCTGAGGGAAATCCTAGGAGCTCTGCCTGCCAGCTGCCAGGAGCCTGGCTGCTGTTGCCCACCAAGGTGGCCAAGTCAGTGTCCAGGCTGGGGACTAAATGACAGCATTGGCCAGTGGAGGGTGGCACACCAAGCTCTGGCTTCAGTGCCTGAGCCCCATCTTTCCCACCCATCCTCTCCATCTAGCAGGACCCCAGCATACTCTCCCAGCTTTCCCAAGGGTCTCCTCCCAAGCCCTCTCTCACAGCAACTGGCCCCCTTTCACCCTGAAGTGCCAAGAGAAACAGGAAGCCAGTTGAGGCCCCAACAGGCGGGAGCAGTGCCCATCAGGGGCCAGTGCGTGGGGACCCACAGGTTGGGGCCTTCTCAGGGCCCTGCTTACTCCACTCACCCAAGCCACACTTCCCGCAGATGAGGATTTCATTCAGCGGCCCTGATGTCTTCCCCAGACAGATGTTACACTTGGGCTCCTCTCCTGGAACGCCAGCTGAAAGAGAGGCCCTGGAGGGTCAGGTCCAGCTCACAGGAATGAGAAGTTTTACACTCACAGTCCAGATGCCCAACCTCTACTGTCGGCTAAGCCTAGCACTGGGCCCCGTCTGGCACCTCACTGAATCTCCCCAACCACTCTGAGATGCCTATCATCATTACCCCATTCTAAAGATGGGGAAATTGAGGCTCTGAGAGGTTAAGTCCCTTGCTTAGCTAGTAAGTAGGAGAGTGGGGGGGATTCAAACCCATGGCTGTTTGACATCAAACCCTTTGTTCTTTTGACCACATCATGTTGCCTCTCCCGCTTGATTTAACTTGTTTTGTTAAACGGTTAAGTAATTTTTTAAAACTTTATAACTTTATTATGGGATAATAGAATTCTTTTTTTTTTTTTTTTTTTAAATGGAGTCTCACTGTGTCTCCAGGCTGGAGTGCAGTGGTATGATCTTGGCTCACTGCAACCTCCACCTCCTGGGTTCAAGCAATTCTCCTGCCTCAGCCTCCTGAGTAACTGGGATTGCAGGTATGTGCCACCACACCCGGCTAATTTTTGTATTTTTAGTAGAGACAGGGTTTCGCCATGTTGGCCAGGCTGGTCTCGAACTCCTGACCTCAAGTGATCCACCTGCCTCGGCCTCTCAAAGTGCTGGGATCACAGGCATGAGCCACCATGTCTGGTCTAGAATGTTACAATGAAACTCCATCTTCTCATCACTTATTAACTCATGGCCAATCTCGTTTCTACTATATTCCCACCTACATCTCTTTCCTGTAATTATTTTAAATTGAGTCCCAGATACCCAATCATTTTTTCATAAATATTTCCATATGTATTTCTGAAAGATCAAGACTCTCTTTTTAAAAAACATAATTACAACACCTTTATTGCACCTAAATGTTAACATAATTGCTTAATATCATTAACAAATTCAGTTAACGTTCACATTTCCAATTGTCTCTTNAAAAACATAATTACAACACCTTTATTGCACCTAAATGTTAACATAATTGCTTAATATCATTAACAAATTCAGTTAACGTTCACATTTCCAATTGTGCCATAACAATTTTAAGTCTGTTCTTTTGAATCAAGATCCCCAAGCAAAGTCCATACATGGTGACTGGCTGAAGTTTTTAAAATTGCTTTTAATCTATAGGCCCCCTCTCCATCTCTTTTTTCTCTGCATTTTATTTTGGTTGAAGAATATGTTTTTATGTGTGAAAGGTTTGTATGAATACATTAAACACATTTTGATGTGTGTTTCTGCCTTATGTCCCCAGCTCGCTAAATGTTTTGTAAGGGCAGAAATGATATCTCTTCATCTCTGTATCCCCAGGACCTCATACAGTGTGGCATGTAACAGGTGTTCAAAGACAAGTTTGTTGAATATATGGCCAGGCAGGAACCTTGCCTCCTATTCTTGAACTTGCTTCCAGAAAGGTGGTGCCCACAGTGTGTCTCAGTAAGTCCTCACTGGCTTAATGAAGCAATGGATCAATAACTACAATGGTGCTCAGCCTTATGCTCTCACTTTGGGAGATGCCAGGGGGTACCCAGAACGGGCAGTTCTGGCTGGGAGTCAAGCTATTCTTCAGCTGATTGCTGTGGTACCTCCTAGGAGCCTGGCATGTGGTGGGCCTACACAGGTTAGCTAAGGTGCATGGGCTTCTGAACCATCTGGCTCCTTGTGCTTTCAATAAGGTGGTAAACCAGAAGAGAACGGCCTCATTGCTTTGGATCTTTATACATTTCAGGACTTGGAGAAAAATTGGTCTCCACTGGCCACAGCTTCTTGGAGAAAGGGGCAATTTGAAAGCTTTACTAATCGGCTGGGTTCTGCGGCCTCTACTTGGCAGGCTTCTTAGAATCATCTTTTATGGTAACAAATTATTATTATTATCATTATTTGAGATGGAGTCTCGCTCTGTTGCCCAGGCTGGAATGCAGTGGTGCGATCTCAGCTCACTACAACCTCCACCTCCTGGGTTCAAGAAATTCTCCTGCCTCAGCCTCCTGGGTAGCTGTATTTTTGGTAGAGACAGGGTTTAACCATGTTGGCCAGGCTGGTCTTGAACTCCTGACCTCAGGTGATTCACCCACCTCAGCCTCCCAAAGTGCTGGGATTACAGGCATAAGCCACCACACGTGGCTGGTAACAAATTCTTGATTAACAGCCTCTCTCTAACCCGTAGCACTGAGCTAAGCATTTTACATGGATTAGCTCACTTAAGCCTCCCAACCACTCTATGAAGCCAGTACTTTCACTATCACCTTCTTTCACCTGAAGAAATTAAGACTCAGAGAGGTCATATTACTTGCTCTGGCAAATGCACCTAGTAAGTGGCAAAGCTGGAACTTGGTTCAAGGTCTATCTGACCCTAAAACCTGCTTCTTCCCCCACTAGGGACCGGGTCTCATCTCCTGTTAGAGTATAAATGGCAAATAGGTTTCTCCTCTCATGCCAACTCTGATTGACAGGTAGTAGCTGCTTGGGGCTCCACGTTGAAAGTACATGTGTTGTCAATGACTACTGATGTCTGTTGTGTGCATGGGAAGGGAGAATGGTGGCAAACACGGCCCTGATTTGCCATCTCTGTAAGGGAGAGATGTCAGCTTTCTAAGGGCAGGGATGGTACCCAACCCAGCCTCCTTTCAGCACTGAAAGCTGGTCTAGCTCCATCCAGGCATGTCCGTCTTCATCCTGCCTGGCTCATCTCTGCTTTATTGGTTTTTCTCCCATTTGCCATGAACTCCTTGCCCCGTGGAGACAGCTGCTTCCACTAGTTTAATTCACATGTTAAATTAGGGACACTGTGCTTGCATTTAGAGCTGACAATTCTCATTACCTGGGCACATCCCCTTTTCTAGCCTAGGCTGGGATATTTAAATGGAACCAATTCTGGGACATTTAAATGGAAAGCAATTCTGGGACATTTAAATGGAAAGCAATTCTGGGACATTTAAATGGAGACCAATTCTGGGACATTTAAATAGAAAGCAATTCTGGAACCCAGAGCTTTGAGCAGCTGGAGATGTACTGCAGCCAGGAAGCAACAGGCCTGAGGCCCAGTCCTGGCCCTCCAAGAACCTCCTTGAGCTACCTTCCCCACCTGCCCAGCCTCCTTCCTGGGGTATGAACTCTCAAGGGGACAACTCATGTCCTAAGTACCTTGCCAAGTCAATATACAACCAGATTTGATCATCACCTCAGGTGGGCTTGGGGTTCATGGACAAAGGCAGATGCCAGGAGTAAGAGATGAAAGGAGAGAAGGAAGAAATGAAGGCAGCAGAGGAGAGAAGACCTGGGGAGGTTGGGGGCTACTCGAAATTTTAGGAAAACTCACCATGCTGTATGTCCTTCCATAGGACCCAGTATTTGGAATTATCTTCGAAAGTCACGAGGCAGCTTTGCTTAGAGCTGCTGACCTGGGGCACAGATAGGAAGAAGCAAGTAAGAAAGGGCTGGGGAAAAGCCAACCTGGAATATAATCTTCCTTGCCCATTTTTGTCTCCTTATGCTCCAGAAAGCAGGACTGGAAGGGGAAGGAGGACAGCAGTTCCTGGACATGGTGTGCTCCTAGCCAGTTACCGACGGATGACAACTTGGTCAGAACGCTGAGGACCGAAGCACAAGTCAGATGCTCCTCTGTGATCCTATCGAACCTGACTTTTTGGTTTTGTAGGCTCTCAGAGCACTTTTCATTTTTTTTTGAGATGGAGTCTTGCTCTGTTGCCAGGCTGGAGTACAGTGGCGTGATCTTGGCTCACTGCAACCCCCACCTCCCAGGTTCAAGCGATTCTCCTGCCCCAGCCTCCCGTGCACCTGTAAGCCCAGCTAATTTTTGTATTTTTAGTAGACACGGGGTTTCACCATGTTGGCCAGGATGGTCTCGATCTCTTGACCTCGTGATCTGCCCACCTCAGGCGTGAGCCACTGCACCTGGCCTCCAAGTACTTTTCTAAAAAACTGGTTGGATGATGTCGACCCTAAGGATGGTGCCTGCAAGACCAGGCTCTGGTCCCTCCCACCAGCAGCTTTGGGCATGAGGGACAAGAATGGAATTCCCTAGCAATCCCCCTGTCCCCCCCTAGTCTGAGAGCCAGGCTGGAACATGAGCAGAGACATGCGGAGCCTGAGAACAGGGACCAGAGAGGACGGGTTTACCCTCTTGATCTTCCCGAGGTAGTACAGGCCATCTGTCCACCGGCACAGCACATACTGGCCCTCTGTCAGCTTGGACATCAGGTCTTTGAAGTTGTTCTTGACCTTCGCCAGGGCCCCCTTGTTGGGGAGGTGGCTGGTGGCACCATAGGAGTCCCGAGTCCCTGGATCCAGAGCTCGATTCTCCATCAGCTTCCCCTGACACTGGGAGAGAAAGAACAGGGTTTTCACTTCTTGCTTCCCTGCTTCAGAAAGCCCATTAGGGGAAGGAAGGAAATCAGCATTTCTGTATCCTGTGCTATAAGCTAGGCTTGTTTATTATCTCACTGGTTCCTCATGGCCATCCTATGAGGAAGATATTATTCACATCTTACAGACAGGGAAACTGAGGTGTGGCAAGGAAAAGAGGCTGATGGGCCAAAGGCAGAGCCATGGCCCATACCACACTGTCTTTTAAAGTGAATAGATCTCTCAACCCCCACAGAACAAAGTCCCCTACCCAGCGGGCTTGAACCATACTCCCTGTCTCAGGAGGCTGATGTTTTATTCCTTAGGCAAACACACTCCATGTATTCCGGATAGAGGGTCTTCTCCGGGGGAGCAGCTGGGTTTCTTTTCTTTCTTTCTTCTTTTTTTTTTAACCCCAAGCACTGTAACCATCCCTTCCCTGAGATCTGTCCAGAGAAAACTCACCTAGAAAGGAAAACTCCTGGGTGGCTTGTAACTAGTGTAGACGGGTCATCTGTCTTTTGTAATCCCCCTTCTGTTCTCAATTATGAGATGATTTAATGGAAACCAATTCTGGGACATTTAAACCCACTTATGCTTTCACCTAGATACACATTTGCTCCAAGCAGTGAAGTCATCCCCATGCCAACCTCTCCACACCTGTCTCTCACCATCCTTTTCAGCAGCATGCAGTTTACCCATGGGTTCCTCTCTCCCTGCTAGTGGCACTGCCTCCACGCATCTCAAACTCCTCCAAGCAATGAGCTGCCGTAGTCTGCCCATTTTAAGTGCTATGACTTCTGGCTTTCCGGCCTCTAGCTTCCATCCTCCCATGCTGGTCTGAGTTCAGGCCTCATCTTTTGCTTGGGTCATTCATTCACTCATTCATTCACTCAATAACAGTTTCCTGGGCCTTGTGCTCACCTCCACTAGGCACCTGGGTTGGGGAACGGGTACTACCAGCACCCAGGGCTAAACAGGCCGCTCCTGCATTCCTGCCTTTCCACCAGACTCTTCCGCAGGGCCACCAATTTCCTTCCAGAAACCTTCTAGGGCTCTCCACTGCCCTCACTGGTGCTCAAAGCCGTCCCTAAGGCCCCTTCCTTCCCCGCTGGGCTCACCTGGCTCCATGCCCCTCCACACACTCTCCACTACAGCCAGTCTCTTTCCCTGCGCGCCTACTCGGGTCTCCTCCCTGTGGCCATGGCGCTGGGCACCTGGTGTTATGACTGTCCACAGGGAGAGAGTCCAGTGCCTGTTTTTGTGTGGTGCGTGCGTGTACTCCTGTAAGACTGGGCAGGATGATGTCCAAGGCATTGTGCCAGGGAGTGTGTGAAGTTAAATACGAGTTTCTGTGCGGGGCCCTGGGGCGAGCCGGGCACTGCAGGGGTCTCAGTTCCCCAGATGGTGGCGTCACCACGACCCTCTCCACTCCCACTTCCATCTCTTTTTTCTCCAGCGCCGAGCGCACAGGCTCCCAGGCAGGGGATACAGTCTGAACCCCTGTCCTCTCCCTGCCACCTGGCTCCCCTGGCGCTGCGAGGTCCCCGCCCGTCCTGCCTGAGGCCAGGCCGGGGCCGCTGCAGGTTCACAAACTGACACTTCCTCCCCCGCTGAGCCTCTGGGAGCCGGCTGAGTCGCCGCACCCCCTCCACCCTGGCCGGGCGGGGGCCCCCGGGTGGCGCCCCCCCAGCCCCCGCCTCCGTCCTCCCGGAGCGGGCCCCTGCGGGCTGTGATTGGCTGATTCAAACCCATTTGCAAAGAAATGCCTGTTTGCGGGTTCCCGTCTGCGTCCAGTTCAAATCCGCGGCACCGGGAGCGCGGGGCCGGGCGGGGGCAGGAAGCGAGAATGATTCATGCGCCGGGGCCTCTCCCAGGGCGGCCGTTGGCTTTTTAAAAAGGGTGTTCAGGAGGGGGAAAAAAGCTTGCAGAAGCACCCCCTTCGCGTTCAGCGCTCCTCTCCTCAGTCGCTCGGACGCCAAGCCTTCCACATCCCAACCCCTGCAGCAGCCTGACTTCGGACGTGAGCGAAATGCCAAACGCCCGTCTGTCCTTCCCCCACCCCGACAGGAAAATTAAAGATCAGGGGCGAGGAAGAACGACCTGTCACCCACGCCCACCGGGGCCCCTCTGCCCCGCAGGTACCCTGCACCCCCGTCCCCACCCGTGAGCGCCCCGCTCCGCAGGAGTCTCACCCCCCGGAGGCGTTCGGGCAGCCAAAGTTCAGGGAGATTTCGAAAAGAGAGGGATGAGGGCTGGGAGGGGAGAGCGTGGCGGGGAGTTCGCCCTGCAGCGCAGAACTCACCGCGAGGCTGCGTGTCCGCCGGTCCCACTTGGAGTCTGGCCACCAGGCGCATCGGCGGCGGAGGCGGCTGCGCTCAGCCCGCGGCTGCCCGGCCGAGTGTCCGCCCGTGGGGCCGGGGTCGGGGTCTCGGCGGGGGCGGGGCGGGGCGGGGGCGCCGCAGGGAGGAGGGGGAGGCGGCGGAGGGAGGGGCCGGGGCGCTCAGGAAGGGGCCCCCCGGGCGCGGGGCGCCATCTTTTTCGCGTTTTCCCGCGAATTATTGACGTCCCGCTTATGTAATTAGCGGGGGCCGCGCCGGCCTCGCCATTGGAGCCCGCGGCCGCCGGGCCCCGCAGCGCCGCCAGCCCCCGCCCGGCCCCGCCCGCCCCGCGGGCGCGCATCCTCCGCAGCCACCGCGCGCACTGCCCGGACACGGGCCCCCAGCCGAGGCGCGGCCACACCGCGGCGCACACGGAGACGCCAGGCAGCGCGCATGGCGCACACTGCCGCTCGCACACTTGTTGAGGAAGCAGCTCTGCGCGCAGGCACCGGCGGACCCTGGCACAGACACCCATCAGGGCGGCGCGGACACTTGGCGTAGACACACTCAGACAGAGACCCAGGACGGCCAAACGGGCCACAGAACAGAAGCACATAACACCTCGCACTCACAGCACAGGCGTTCGGCACGGAGACACAGCACGAGCGTAATGTAGATACACAACACACAGTGCACAGCGTGCAGACACAGGTCAGAACACACCATAGCATGTACAGGACACACACCGCAAAGAGAAGTAATGTACACACCGGCCATAGGCATAGATACACAAGGGGAGATACACTACACAGCAGAGACACACAACAGAACATGCATTTAAGGTAGACAGACGTAATACATAAAGCCACAACACAGACACGCAAGAGAAACAAGTTTCCCGGAGAAGGTGGCAATCAGATAGGTTGTGGAGAAAGGTTGGTGGGTGTGCCAGGTGGAGAAAATTTAGTGAGCTAACAATCCAATTTTTAAAATATGGGTTAAGGATATCAACAGGTAATTCACAAAAGAGGAAACCTACATGACTGAAATAGTCCCAGACAACAAATTGCATAGAGACAGTGCACAGAAATACATATAATCGCAAATATATACCGCATGCACAACACTTCATGTGAATAAAGGGCACACAATGAAAGACGACATGCAGAGTCATAGGAATGGCAGATGGAGGCAGTGGGCAGAGCTCCAATCATGTGGTCCCTGCCCTGGGGGGAAAAGACAGACATGGCCCCACCCAGACTCATTCTTGGGGGAAGTGGGGAAGAACACTTACCAATAACCCTCACCTGCATCCTTGCCCTTAGTCCACAGCGCCCACCTCTGTGGCTACCATCCCACTCTGCAGACATCCCCACCAGATGGGGATATGTGCATTCATGGGTGTGGCCAGTGGACAGCACCTTCCTTCAGAGCCTTCCTTATTCATGGTCACTTGCTCACTCTGGGCCCTCTGCCTCCTGGCCTTGGAGGATGATCTGTGCAGTCTCCACCTCACCTTCACAGCAGAGATCCAGAAGTCCTCTCACCTCCTTCCTCACTTCCTTCTGCCCCTTGATCCTCCTGCTCTCACGTGCCTCACTGCCCCATTCTGGATCCTGGCACCACAGCAAAACCTAGCAGTGCTGACCACCTGCCTCACCTCTGCCTGAACCTGGAAGGGAAGCCTGAGAGCAGCCCCATGGCACAAAATCTCCCAGTCCTGGGGAGCACATTTTCAAGTCCCAAAGGGGCCCTAGGATTGTGCTATTTCTCTATGTTCTGCCAAGAGAATGTGTGTCCAATGTGGGCAGGGCTGATGATGTGAGCAGAACACTCCCACTAGCTTCTAAGCTGGTTGGATCTGCCTTCAGGATGCTGGGGGACAGAGCTGACAGAGGGAAGAGCTCACCTCTGAGGCTACAGGCCAGCCGCAGCCATTACTGGCCATGGGATCCTGAGTGTGTCACTTCATTTTTTTTTTTTAAAACAATTCTTGCTCCCAAGACTTCAACTCTTAAGCTTCCTTGTCCTCACCTAAATAGAGTTCTTGGGAAGGCTAGAGTTAATGTATGCAAAGCCCCTGGTGCCCAGTGGGTATGCAATAAGTGATCATTGTATTAATACTTTGTTAGGAAATTCTGTATTCAGAATCCTGATTGCCCCACTGTGTGGGACTAGAGTTGGGGGACATATGACCTGCAGGTGGATGGGAGACAAGGGACTGGCAATCTCGTGGAGGAGGCAGTGTTGACTCATAGATAAATAAGCGGGGATTGTACTGTGAGCTGGACATGGAATTGGAGTGTCCCAGCTTCCAGTCCAGTTCTGCCTCTGAGCCAGGGCGGGGTCTTGGGTTAGCTAGACCCTCCTACACCATGTTTCTTTATCGGTTTAAATGGGGGCAATAATACTACCCATCTTATGGGGCTGTTGCGTAAATGTTCAAATAAGATAATGAAGGAGCAGGTGCTTTTGTAAACTAAAAAGTTTGGGATGCAAAATAAGAAGTTAAAACACTACAAAACAGGAAATTATAAATGCCACGAGAAAGGTACAGTGTGACCAGCGGTTGTTTAGAGGCAACTCTAACTTTGAATTGAGGAAAGAGAACACGTTTCATGGAAAAGGTGGCATTCAGTTAGGTTGTGGAAATAGGGAGGTGGGTGTGCTAGGTGGAGGAAGTTTAATGGGCTGACCAACAATCTAATTTTAAAAATATGGATAAAGGATATCAACAGGCAATTCACAAAAGAGGAAACCTAAATGGCTAAAATAGCCTAAAATGTGAAAAGATGTTCAACCTCATTGGGCACGTGAGAGATGCAAATAAAGAGAGTGTGAAACACCATTACACATCCACCAGATGGGCACGGAGTCAAGTCTGTCAATATAGGGGAGTAGGGGGCGAGGAAGTTGCACTGTTGGAAACCTCAAATGCCACCGATGGAGATATGAACCCGTAAAAACAATTTTCGAGAACAATATGGCAACATGTAAGAAAGTGGAAGATTCTCACAGCTACAATCCAATGACTCTGCTCCAGTCATTCAACATATTGTTGTGAAAATTTAGAAATTGATGAATTATCCATGAACACCAGCCCAGATAGGCCGGGCACTGTGGCTCACACCTGTACTCTCAGCATTTTGGGAGGCCAAGGCTGGTGGATCACTTGAGGTCAGGAGTTTGAGACCAGCCTGACCAACATGGTGAAACCCCATCTCTAAGAAAAATACAAAAATTAGCCGGGCACGGTGTCATGTACCTGTAGTTCCAGCTACTTGAGAGGCTGAGACAGGAGAATTGCTTGAACCGGGGAGGCGGAGGTTGCAGTGGGCGAGATCATGCCACTGCACTCCAGCCTGGGAGAAAGAGTGAGACTCCGTTTCCAAAAACAAACACAAAAACAGCAGTCCAGATAGACTAATTGTGATCTAGTCATACAATGGAATATTATACTGGGAGTAAAAATAAACTAAGTCTGTAGCCTCCACATAGATACACTGTAGGAAAAAAACTAACATCAAGATATAGTATAGGTACAGTGTGACATGAGTGATACAAAGTGTTTCTTATCACAGTCAGCTGGGCCCCATGGCTCAAGCCCCTATCCCAGCACTTTGGGAGGCAATAGAGGGAAGATCGCTTGAGCTTGGGAGTTCAAGACCAGCCTGGGCAACATGACAAAACCCCATCTCTACTAAAAATACAAAAATTAGCTGGGCATGATGGCATGCACCTGTAGTCCCAGCTACTTGGAGGCTGAGGTGGGAAGATTGATTGAGCCCAGGAATTCAAGGCTGTGGTAAGCCATAATCGTGCCACCACACTCCAGCCTGGGTGACAGAGAGAGACTGTTCCCCCACCTCGCCCCCCCCCCCAAAAAAAACACAAAAAAACACACATACAGAAAGAAATACTAAATATGCTATGTAGATATTTTGGGGCTCCAGTGCGTTAGTAACAGTATCGAAACATGCATGGGAAATGAAAGACCCCATATTTAGAATAGAGTAAACTTTGGGAAGGGAGGGACAGGAATGAGATCAGAAGGACACACACAGGGGATTTAATTCTATTTGTATGTCGTATTTCTTAGAAAAAATTTAAAATCTGAGGCAAATATGACCAAGTGTCAAGATGTAACAGAGCTGGGTGGTTGATCTATAGTTGTTCTCTCTGATCCTTCTTCTCAAGTCCTAAACCTTTTCCTTGTTTGAAATATTTGGTGATTTTAAAGATGGGAGGGGCAGAGAGGCTATGAGGAGATTGCAGCAGAGGTTTTGATGACAGCATTGCTTGCTACGTGTGCAGGGTGGTTATAGTACAGTGTCCCCTCATGCATGGACTTGATCGCCCTATTTATTTATTTAGAGATGGCATCTCTGTCACCTAGGCTGGAATGCGGTGGCACAATCTCGGCTCACTGCAACCTCCGCCTCCCAGGTTCAAGCAATTCTCCTGTCTCAGCCTCCAGAGTAGCTGCAATTACAGGTGCACACTACCGCACTAGCTAATTTTTGTATTTTTAGCAGAGATGGGGTTTCACCGTGTTGGCCAGGCTGGTCTTGAACTCCTGACCTCGTGATCCACCCACTTTGGCCTCCCAAATTGCTGGGATTACAGGCGTGAGCCACTGCACTTGGCCCACCCTTCTCTTTTAAGGCTTGTCACAGCTTGGTGAGCCAGGTGTGGCAGGCATCAGGTCCATTTTGCGGGGGACGCAATGGAGGTTTGGAAAGGCGTAGTGATTTACTCAGCATCACACACAATAGAGTCAGGGCTCATCCCCTTTGCTCAGCAGTGTCTCAGCACCTGCCTGTACGGGGAGATCACCAAAGGGCCAGAGAGCCCTGAGACAAGGTCTCCCGCCTTCCAGTAACCCATCCTCTTCCTTCTGCTGTGCTATTCTATGTTTTCTTTCAATTAAGGACAATTTGGAAAATGTCAAAAAGCACGAGGAAGAAAATAAAGTCACTTGTGATTTTCACTGTTACTTTTAAAATCAGATGTATCAAAGTATATTTCACATATGACAAATTCACCTATTTTAAATGTACAGTCACTATTTTGAGAGAACATCATTTTTTTTCATAAATACTTGTTTGAATACCAAACGAGTTAGCCTATATGAAAGTGCTCTACGGCTGGGCGCAGTGGCTCATGCCTATAATCCCAGAACTTTGGGAGGCCGAGGTGGGTGGATCACTTGAGGTC